CTTATTTACATAACTACTGTTAGGAAACGACAGTTTGAGCTGACACAGCATTTACAGACAGGATCTGTGCATCTCAACGTCTTATACCACTTTGAAATTAGCAGTCGTTTATAGCACAAAGAACATTGTTTGAAGATCTAATTCAGTCGCAGCATCTCCCTAAGTTGCATTTGATTGTATTCATCTGTTTACCTGCATATTTTGTAGCACATACTTTGGGAGAACAGAAAAAGTCCTTACAAGAAGCATATCTTAATGTGTATTAGGAAAAATTGTTACTGAGGAATTCGTCTCTTTGTTACAGATCATAACGTATATTTAGACACTTCCTCATGTGTGGCTGTAAACGGAGAAACAACAGATTGCTATATTCTCTAGCAGCAGCTCTAAAACCTTGTTAAGGCTAACTGATATGTACAAAAAGATTTCTTGGTTCACTCTGTATTATTTTGACAATTTATTGCCTCTCCGTTGCTTGATTCGCTTCATTTTGGTCTTACTCTTACATTTTATTGTTCCTCGCATTCTTCTTCAACACAACTTGTATCCCAGCAGTCATCACTAACTAACCTCAGTTAGAGAACCACTGATTACATGTTGAATTCAGGCAGCCACTGTGTTTTAGTACGTGAGTGCTTAGCATTTCCCACCCATAACCGTCAAATCTCGTGGCAAGAAAATTACAATCTGACCGCTGACAAGCAATCCAATGGTAATCATTTTCGTATTGCTTTCAATTCACGATGTATCATGACCATCATTCAATGTCACTGGTGAGAGTTTTTCCTTACAACCAACTTGATTGACGCCAGACGTCGTGAATTTTTACGAAATGCAAGCTGTTTAGGATCTGCTTACCAAAGCAAAACAGATGTGCAGAGCTTGTGCGTTTCCAGTGGTTCCTCTGATGATGTCAGTCCGTGATGAATACTTCGAAAGCAATCAATCTCCACAAACCATTAAGTGAATTATTCTCAGATTTGTTACATATCTAATTTTGATATGATTTGATGAACATCAAAATATAACCGTGATTTTAGTTAGATGAAGGTGGTCGGCAGGAAGCGGTGGACGCAGATTTGTTGCTTGACGACACACATCAGTAAGGGAGGTTCGAATCTCTGATGAGACATCGGTCCCATAGAGGTTGAAGATACTCCTTTTTGACAAGTGTCAAGGTCCATGGCTTCCTTCCGATCTCCTTCATTCCACTAATATCTATCAAAGTGCATCGTGATGCTGCGTTTTCTAATCTGGTGACCATATTGCAAAATGATCAAGTGTTGATCAGCACATAGGGATAGACAAAATGGAATTAGTTACCCTCTAGTAACCAATCAATTTTAACTGTGATTCCTAAAATATCATTCACAGTTACATAACTAGCTCGTTTGTTTTTGTATGAATGCTGTTATAACCCCACACTACGATCAATTTTTTGCGTGTTAACTGATCAGTTTTATGAGACGATTTTTCACCAGTATAAAAACTAGAATATTCTTCTTATGTTTAACTATTGCAAAACATTTTCGCTTATTTCTAGTCATAAGTAAGTTGAATCTGTCCGATTTTACACTTTACTGCCAGAGATTTCTTTGTTATGTTCTTCCCACTTTTGAAAGTAGTTCACCCGTGAATGACGCGAAGTAGATGAAATATACTGAGTTTATTTCATTACACAAATTTAGCTATTTTTCTCCAAAAGCTTTTATTGCAAGAACAAGTTCACGCAGATTATTCTGTACATTTTTGCCGATCAGTTCACATCTTCAACTATTTGAAGTTTTCACCACTGAATCTCATATCCTTCAACTGAAACATAGTTCAAGAAAGGAAACCTGCGAGCACTAGAAAGCTGTTTCGTCCTATTGTGGGACTCCTCAGCAGTGCGCACTGACCACCCCGTGACCTTCAGGTTCCGTGGCCAGGACGTTACCATTGTTTGATACCAGGATGGAACAGCTGTTCAGTGCTCCCAGGTTTCCTTTGTTCCTCCACTTTATGTCAGTCTACGATGAATAACAACTTGAAATATTTCCAAATCCCTACAACTCCCTCAAGATTTAATAGTTCAAGAAGTTGCGATTTGAATATCTCATGTCTAGGAAAAACACTTCAGTCTTCAACAGATTATATATTCATACTACATCATAAAGATTTGTTTCATAGACGAAGTGCTAGCCGACATTGTAAATTCTCTCCGATGTAAAAAATGTGTGATTTTTCAAGCTTACGAGCACACTTCATTTTGTTTACTAATGGCTACTACGTTTCTACAACGTATCAGGTAAAATGAAACGGGATATTTGTATGCTTCGAATTTTTTGTTTCTTTTCAAATGATTGTGCGCAATTATGGGTTGTTTCGTTAACCAAAACTGTATTGATTTAAAAATGTATATAATGCTTTGAGGAAAACATATTCTATGATCATTTGAAGATATACAGTTAATCATGGGGACTACGACTGCATGCATAAAAACACAAGATGTCTAATGAACCTATTTTTAACGAATGGAATTCAAGCAAATACTGGCTAAATGATTCACACTTCAATAAAACTAACTCAACTCTTATAAACATTTCACGTTTCGGTCAACTTGTAGCAGGACACATAAAACCTATTTGTTTTTCTCAAAAACGCTCACTTTGAGTGTTGGTGAGATATTTCTTCAGTTTTGTTATAAATATTGGCATGAATCTCACAGGTCAATGGGCGTATAATAGATATAAAACTTCGTGCACATAAACAGCCATTCACATATTGAGATTATACCTTGATGGAAATAAAATAAATGAATTCTAGATAAATGCTTTTATCTTATAGAAGAATTAACTGTACCTAATACTAGATATAATATCATAGTATCAATTGAAGGAGTGACTTCTGAATTGGAATATCAGATGTCATTTCCTATGGCTGATTTATACAGCATCAGTGATCAGTTGGTTAAGGATTAGATAAGACCGCAAATTTTCTTTCACAAAAATCACCAATTTAACATTAAATCTTGAATACTGAATCCATATTTTGAATGTTCTATAGAACGATTTGGCTTCTTAGATTTAGTTAGCTTGTAAGCATCAGTGACCAGGTTCACTCCAGAAGAATGCAACACTCATTCAGTATTTAAACCATTCTGATGAGGATAAAAACAGTTTTCTAATAATCCTGCTGATCATGTTTGTATACATCGTTCACATTTTCTGCTTCCTTACTTGATTTTACTGATTATGGCTAGCGGATCAAGATTAGCAGTCTTAACACTATGCGTCTTAAGAACACTTACCGACACAACACAGTTTTACTGTACTCAAAAATGAAGCTATGTAGTAAGAAACTACTTAATTATGCACATCACTGAAGAATATTAATTATGATTCAAAAAAGTGATCTCAACTTCGATAAAATATTTTTCAGAGTGGATAACGTTTTACTGTCATCTTCGTTTGTGTCTTGATTAAAGACAATTTTTAAATAAGAATGAAAAGGATAACTGTTGTAAGGAGAAAAATCGATTCTTCTGAGAATCATCTTCAGTTCCTGAGAAACTAAAACTCTATTCACGTATGTATTTTTAAAAATCTGCCTACGTAAAGAAGTCCCCATCTGCTTGAAATGAGAGATGGAATAAATGCATAATATACTGAAACAGAACAGAATCAAATTTTTGACGGTGTTATTTGCCTTAACTCCCTCCAAATGACTGTACTACAGAGGATGAGTACGTTTTTCAACATATTATGCATCTTTTCAATTGTAAACGATTGAAAGAATCCTTAAAGAAAGTGTATATATATATTATATTATTTGAATACGTATATTCCTCAGCATTAATCATTTCAGTCCACAGGATGATGTTCAAGAATTTAACTTTAAAATATATTATCTTACGCCATTCCTTGAGCTGTTTTTTTAAAACTCAGAGAAATAAATATATGTATAGCCACTTCCAAATTCAATATCAGTTACGAATGTCATCTAAAGTACAATGGTTTTTCTATTTATGACTATAACTCTTAAAGTATCTTCTAAGATAACTATGGTCATGTCAGTAGTAAGATAGAATCGGCCTCTGAAGTGTTGTATGTATTTATTATAATTGGGTTCAGTATAGTCACATTGCATTTATTTTTGATAGATAGGTTACTAAAGCTTCATATTATCCGTTTTCATTCTATATTCATCATAAAACGAATAAATAAATATTGGTGAGAGATTTATTATAGAACAACCGTTTATAATCTCTTATGCATATGGTTGAAGGATACAATATGCTACCATAGGTGAAGTTCTATGTATACAGGCACCGAATAATTAATATATTTTCTCTTATAATGAAGATTTGTTCCAGGCAATTGTATTAAAACAAACTTGGACTAAAATTAGATTAATGAACATCTGCCTAAAATTCCATCCAGCTGTTGGATAATAGACTTGAACAGAAGATAGCATAATTTAAGATAAAGACTTTATTAATGATCCCATAGTAACTAATCTTACAGTTCATCATCAGTTGATCATTCATTTGTAAGTAGATTATTGTTTTCTTTAATTAGAGCTCTTCAAAACTGTTTAATTTTAACTTTTATCTACATTGGTACAGTGATACTCGGATATAACTTTCAATCATTTTAGTCGGGACTAACGTTTTCCGTTTATGGATCTTGGCTTATTTGAGTTCATTAATTCAGTACAAACTTTCATCTTCCACTGCACTTGTGTACCAATGTAGCCCGAAATCTAATCGCTCCTTATTTCATGACGGTCATACAACACCAAGTAAAATGATTTTGTGTAGATAGTTTAAGAACTTTTGCATAAAATAAAGTCCGTCATAATTATACTTCAAATAGCCAATGACTTTTATTCTTGAGGAAGTTATATGATTTTATGATGAAGTAAGAAAATATTATCAAGAATTTCTGATCAATAACTTTCTGGTACTCTTAGCTGTTCATCTGCTCTTGATTACTGTTATCATGTTCACTTTTTCTAAGGTACACACGTTATGGAGGGTTCCGGTAAAATGCTCGTCACAGCGGTTGGTGTCAATTCACAAGCTGGTATTATATTTGCACTGTTGGGTGCAACTGAAGGTGATGGTTCAGCTGCTCCTCCCCCACCTCCAGTGAACCTTCCTAACGCAAATGAAATGACACAGATTGAAGGTCACACAAACCCTTCACGAAAGAACAATGATGCCGATGGTAAACAAAAACACAGAAAAAACCCAAACCTCAGTGAGCAAACTAATGATCACAAGCATCCAGTAAAAGGAACTGGCCATGTTGCTTTCAGTGGTACATCCGAAGGTGAGTAGTTTATTACCATTGTATACGCTTTTTCATCCCACGTTTTCTAATCCTTTAAATACTAAACGTGTTTTCCAATGCATTAAATTCCACTTAATACCTAGAAGGGGAAGTGCTGAACATGAAAGTCGTTATGATGAAATTGGTGAGAAAAATAAAATTCAACATATGAACTCAGTTGACAGATAAGCTTTAACCACGATAACGGACTTGTGATAAATATATCTGCTACCTAAAACAGAAACCATATCATGATGTGCTTCATAACTTTAAAGTATCCTCCAATTAAATCCAGTATAGTGGAACATAAAGATTCTCCCTTAAAGTAATTGATGACTATCCCACTACCTCTTTATACCAACTCTAAATGAGTAGTTGTACATAACGCTTTTATTGATAACACTAGACTGTCCATAAAACGATGAATCTTCCGTGTTCGCGTATACACTTTTATACCAAGTAATTATTACTGATGAGTGGTTTGAGTTGCCCGTTTTCCCACATCAACTTGAACACTCATTAGCAATAACGTGAAAAAACTTATTATTTCAGTGAAGTTAATGGTACATCGAATAACGTCTTATCAATGTTATTAGGAGTATATAGTCACTGTGGTAGCATGCAAGTGTATAGTAGAGAAGTCTATCATGTACAGCACTCAGCGGTTCAACAGTATTTAAAGTTGATAGTAAATAGTGTTGTCCAAACATGCTGTATCATATAGACTAATCTAATATGGAGGTATCAGAGGAGACTGAGACTTGAGTGAGGAAACTTATGTCTTTGAAATTGTATATTTCTTCTTTCCATATGTCATATATCTTTGGCTATGTATATGAGTGGCCACATGAACAAAAGCCTTCAGATCGCACCCCTAACGGTTACTCGTATTTGAAATGGCCCTGAGTGTTTTTCAGCTTTTCCAGAAACACGTATCTTATTGATTTAGCCTCTTAAAACAACCTGATATTTACACGACAGTTCAGATGCTTCTTTAGAGACTTCGAAGCAAAATGATCGGTCTTAGAAGGCTGTACAGATTAGAAGCATTTTATGCGGATTTGTGGTAACCTTTCACACACGTTAACCTAATGTCAGTAGTAAAAGCCTTTATTCATTTAGTGGTAGTATAAACATGGGGTAGGAATCAGTTCATCATATATCACAATTGCCAATAACTCCCAATGACAAAATGAAATGTTGACAGTTACTAGTAATATTCTCCTGAACAAACTCACCTTACCGGAGAAAAACAAGGTTTTAGTTGTGGCTTGAATAGTACTTATCAGACAAATGAAATTGTAGTAATCACTGATGTAACTGAAATCTCTGGAAGACAATCTGTGCGCTTCATTAGCAGACAATTTTCTTCGTAATGAGCTGCCCGTAGTCTGACTGCTACATTTCAGCTTTGATTTTTTGAATCCAATAGATGGTTCGTACTAGACAACGTGATTGAGATATAAACGTCTGATATTTAGTACAGTCCAATGATAGGAATTTTGTCTCAGAATCTTTATTTAGGAAGAGAGGGTATTACATATTTTCAAGCCACTCTTATGACAGAGTATAAATATAAGTTACACAATAAATCCAATCTATTTTCAACATACGACTGGAACTGAAATTCTTTCACGACCAGACTTCTGACAGATCTAAACACTATCAGTTGGCAGGTCACATGCCAGAGTTTTCACTTAGCTTGGAGAAAAGACACATCAACAAACAATGCTAATTTTCACTTTATCTTATGTTTAACTAAACGACAGAGTTCTGCACAAATTATCTGTTACTAAGACAATCATAGTAATCTGTGATTCAGTAATCAAACAATAGTTGTACTACTTTTGATAACATTAGTAATATTAACTTAGGCTGTAGGACAAATGCAAAATACTGCAAACGTACATCTTAAAATTTGTAAGTAATCTAACCAGACTTCCGAATTTATTCATTTCAAATCGATAACTTAGCTGATCCGTCTCGTGATGCTCTGAACAGATATGGTTTCTGCACGCAGAGGTCGATTTCTGATAACAGGTGGTCACAGACGCTAGTTCTCACTACTGTGACATAACTTCATATTAGATTAGTTCATGTGATAAACCATATATTTATACAGTTTTGTTTCTTGAGTAAATATTTGAACACGGTTTGTTGCACATAGTTATATCACTCAAGGCAAGCATACTCTGATTAAGGAGTATGACAGTAGTTTGATTTTTCGATAAGATTATGTTGAATAAATTCTGCTCGAAACGTTATACGCCATATAGGACTGTATTGTTGTATACAATATCACATAAAATAGTCTAATATGGAACCAGACCTTAACACCTGACATTTGAAAGACGAAGTAAATAAGCGATGTCTAGGTGTAAAATTGGAAAAATAACTGCAATGTTAGGATATGAAATTTGATATAGGAAAAGTGGATAACTGATATTTCTCTAATGAATGGACGTAGAAGGGCTATTTCACTTCCACAAAATACAAAGGCTGCAGTTTTTATTTTTATTTTTCAACTGTCCATAACATTAACTCATAGTTTCGAACTGTTGTTTCTTTCTTCTCCCCTGAAAAAGAAATCACTGACAGGATATAAAGTACAGCTGTATGTGGACCAAGTCTCTTTTCCTAACTATGAAGAAGAGTAGTTTAGGCTTGAAACCATGATTCTACTTTAAGTATAAGTTGTTAAACAAACTGATAAATGATAGAAGAAGGTACTTTTAGCTGTTTGATGGATAGCATAAACCACTTAAAGTCGTACACTGTACTGCTTACCTGTGTCTATTTATCCAAATGTAAACTCGAATTTATTTCTCTGTGGTTACATTTTAGCATCGTGTTGAGTTTATCTTTATTAGTGGTAGCAACATTAATCTTGTGACCTATCTCAACGATATGTTTTGCGATCAAAGAACCCAGACGTCTGCAATCAACCTTTGTTTTCGGGTGGTTCAGTTTCCCTCTGAAGCCACTTTGAAATATCCCCCAAGGCCGTAACTTGCATGGGTCTATAAGTCTTTTCTATGTACATTTCACCACAAGTACAATTTAACTGGCAGATGCAATGGGATGTTATACGTGCTGTGAGGTTTCAAGAGAGTTAACAGGTTTGGTGGTCTTCATAGTCGACACTCTCCATAGTATGTCTTTCTAAGAGTGGCGTTAAGTCTCTGCATAAGGACTGCACTATGAAAGTCACCATTTTACAGAAGACTGATGAAGACACCTTTCTTCAGGACAGAATGACGATCGGGCTTCCAGACTCTCGTTACTTTGTTCTGGCTAATAAATCTTTTTGGATAGTTATTTTTCAACAGTGTTTCTGTCACTATTCTCGCCTCGCCTTGCGAAGTATCGTGGTGGATATTCGTTAAATTCTATTGATTATTCATGTATTGCCCTGTCCAAATAGGTTTTCTGTAGACGGATTATTTTATGAATCTATTCTGCCATTGACTGATTAAATTTCCAAAGAAGGCAAGTAACCATCATCTTTCTCTACACATTTCAAGAATGCGGTGTTCTGCGCTTCATTTAATCGGTTTAGAATTGAAGTGAATCGACTATTTATCACGTTATTAAGATATAAGTGAGAAATATTCGGTGAAGATGGAATTTGATAATTGGGTCCTCTTTAATTTTTCCAGCTGTGATGTAAATATGTCTCCTAAATGGAGTAAAAAGGACTTAGCATGACAACGACAAGAACCTGACGGGAATGTTCCCCTCGAATGCCAATTTAGTGCTGCACATACATTAAAATAGTAGTTCTTTTACGTGATACAGAGAAATGCGTATTAAAAAAGTATGCATAGAAATATAATCACATAAAGACCAATCGTGTTGACCAGAGAGACATTGGTGAATAGTACTTTTACGTCCAATAAGCACACAATTTTGTCTTTAACGTTGACATCGTTAGGGAATTTGATTACTTGAGACATTATCCTTTCAGGATTATCACATAATCGCTTTTTGATGGGACCGAATACTATGGGTACATACATCAACTTTTTTGTGCGCTTGGGTATAGTTTCTGGACACTTTCTGTTAAACATTTGTTTACTTCTGTTGTTGTCTACAGTTATTAAATGGATTTGACCTGTTTTAACTGTGTTAGCATAATCTGTAAACACTCAGATATCACTTCTTAATGATAGGTAGCTTTATTAAAGTGGAAATTTTATCCCTTGTTCACTTGACCTTCATACTGACAAAAAGAGCTCAAGTATTTAAGACTTATTGTTAAGATAATATGCGCTTGTTGCAGTGTGACACAATCTATCTTGTTGTCTCGCCCGTTGTCATCTGTAGGAGGTGAAAAATATATGGATCGATATTTTGTTCTCTTATTTGCCATTTGCATAACATTTGAATTGACTCCTATATAAACATTCAACACTAACATGAAACATAAAGCTTCCACTGTTGGACGCAAAGAAACAGAAACTAATAACCAGAAACTTTGCAGAGTATATAAAGTTGATTAAAATATATAGCTAACAACAGTTTACATCAGTTATGCAGATTACAGTTAATACAGAAATGAGATGGCTGTTTGATTCTTTCATGATTGAGCTCATCAGTGGTGTGTTCAGACTGGTGTAGCTCAGAAATATAATATCTTGAAACTATTCTTAGTGCGGTCATAAATTTTTCTAGAACTGAACTAAAGTAGGCACTTTTAAAATCGACAGTCTTGTAAAGATAATACAGCTAGATGAGTTTAGCTGTCAGATTTTGCTGTAATTTTGTTTAGAAAGTACAGTGTATGATATACTTTTTACCATTAAATGCACCGAGAATTCAAGATAAAACGACATACAATATTTAATATAACGTTATAGGGATCAAAATGTGTGTTTTGAGCATTTCGGTTTCTATAGGGATGCAAGATGAAATTTTAAGACTAGTTAGTGCTTAATAACAACGATAGCTTTATTTAAAACAGTATGTTTGATATAGTATAGAATTCCCAGAATGTAATA